CATCTGTACATATAACATATATATATAGTTATACATATATATATATAAAACCATAGTTACATGTGTATAACTATAGAGTTAGTTATATTAAAATGCATCATGTTCATTTTATGTATCTATTAAATCTTAACAACTATTGCTATGTCTGCTGATCTGCATTCAAATTCCAGCAAGTCTGTGAACAGGAACAATCTAGTTATGCCAGAAATATATGTATAATTATCACAAAATTTATTTTTCTGTGAATTACCTAATTAACTGGCTCATTTTTCTAGTAAAAGTTTAGAACTACAACCTTGGTTGACAAATGTTTGAGTTGTTTCCTGTCCCACAAGAATCTTCTGTTTAGGTGTATATAAACAAATGATGTCCCCACGTATAATATTTACTAGCACAGTGGCTTTCCTTATTGGTAAATGTTTAATCTCTTGAGTGCAAAGCTCAGACAGTACAAGTCTTTCCTGTGTGTTACACTGGGCCATCAAATAACATCACTAACCAAGCTGTTTATGCAACCAGCAAATGGACTTTCCAATGGTTTCCAAGATTACATAAAATGAATAAACGTTGCCTCATATTAATGACTAATAGTTGTATTGGCCCTAGTTCAGCTTGACTAATAATATCTGATTTTTAAAAAAATTCTAGACTTAAGACTTGGGTTAAAAACTACTTCTTCGGGCCCGGCGTGGTGGCACAGTGGTCAAGGTCCTCGCCTTGCACGCCCAGGATCCCATATGGGTGCCGGTTCTATCCTGGCAGCCCCGCTTCCCTTCCAGCTCCCTGCCTCTGGCCCGGGAAAGCAGTTGAGGAAGGCCCAAAGCTTTGGGACCCTACACCCGCGTGGGAGACCCTGAAGAGGCTCCTGGCTTCAAATCGGCATAGCATCGACCGTTGCACTCACTTGGGGAATGAATCATCGGACGGAAGATCTTCCTCTCTGTCTCTCCCCTCTATATATACGCCTTTCCAATAAAAAAATCATAAAAACAAATCTTTAAAAATAAAATAAAATTTAAAAACTAATTCTTCAAATTATAAATAGTAAATACAGCCAAAACCGGTGTAAACTGCATGCTTCCATTTTGGTATGAACATAAATTTTCAGGCTTGAAAATTACTTCTTCAAATTATAATATAGCAAAAAACACTGTAAACTGCATGTTCCAATTCTGGTATGAAAATAAATGTTCACGTTTGCTACAATAAGATCTACAGCCTTTATCAAATATCCTAAAATGCTAAATAAAGGTATCAAAACAACTTATCTTACAGGTAAATTTTCACAACTTCCAGTGGTTTGAACTAAACCAGTATAAATAATATACTGTAAATAATGGCTTATCATCTATACAGGCAGCCTTTTCTAGTGTGACAGCATTAATACTGGGCAAACAATCCATGTCATCTGCATCCTCACACATATGTATGCTAGGCCACATGTATCACCGGATTTTGCATTCACTATCAGGAATATTTAGAAGGTTCATGAAAAATTCACACTATAAAAAAACTCAAGAAGGGATTTCAAAGACTTCTTGCCTCAAACTAAACTTATCTTTAGATTGCAATTTTGCCCACCTATTTTTAAAAGCCTGCTTATATTCATTATTATGCAATAACAGTGAAGCAACATCTTCTGATCTCTTTACTCCTGTAAGTATATTATACGAGAGGAGGATTTAATTTGATACGACTTTGCAATCACTCCTCCTCACCAATTACTGATTTCCAAGGGGCAAACACTGTAGCCCTAACTCAACATCTTACTCAATTTAAAACCCAAAGCAGAAGGAGGCATTGGCCACAGTAGTTAAGCAGCCACTCTGAACACAGATCCCATAACTGAATGTGTGGATTTGAGCTCCAGCTCCACTCTCTATTCCAGCTTCCTGATAATGCACATCCTACGAAGCAGGTGATGCTTGAAGTACTTGGGTTCCTGCCTCTCACATGGAAGACCCAGACTGAATTCCTGGTTCCTGGCTTCAACTTGGCCCAGCCCCAGCTCTTAAAAAAATTGTTTTGAGAAGTGAAGCAACAGAGGGAAACTCTCTCTGTTGCCTTTACTTCCCTATGTGTTTCTCTGCCTTTAAAATGAATAAACATCTTGTAAAAAGCAGTATAAAACCTATGCAGTTAGAGAAACTGCAGGAAGTTGAACAGATTCAACAGGGCACTTCCCACTTTTCCAAGGCTGCCATGCGCTGATGATAGGAGCAATCAAAAGTTCCCCTGCAGCTCCCCTGAGCCACAGGGAAGGAGAAGCTCTTCCTGAACTGGGGGCTGTCCTCCTGGGGACTTCAGTCCTGGCAATACCTGAGTGGCTCTTTGGGTGACAGGATTTTCCCACTGGGTCCTGGACATGTATTCCCATTTTGCTTCCTTCCAAACCAGCAATATCTTACTGGCAAGGGGGAAAAAAAAAAAAAAAGCAAACACAAAGCCAACAAAGAAAAGGATGGGGACAGAAAGAGACAGCTGAAAAGCAAAATAGATTTACAGACACACACAAAGCTCAAGCCTAGAAAAAAAAAAAGTCCCAGAGTAACTTCACAAATTAGAGAAATATATCAACATAATACCACCTTCTTTCTCTTATTTTGCAGACATTCCATTTCTCATTCTATTGCACTGTCAGCACATCTTATCAGACATCTTACCTTCTTATTGCCCTCCCACCAAACCCCACCAGCATCGCTTACACACAGAAAGCCTGCCAATGTTTTCACTTCACAGGTCATTTTGCACCACCATGGCTCACTTACAAAAGATGAGCTATTTTGTAAGCCAATGTATTTTGCAGTTATGTCATCTGTGAATCTCAAGACTATTCTGGATCAGAGTGTTGTGGCTATTACTCACAGCTGCCCTTCCTTCATTCCTCTCCCGTGAAATCAGAGGACTAAAGAAGCTGAGACTGGGGTTTCAACAAGCTAATGTAAAGACTGCTAAAACTTTAAGCCTCGACATTTAGAACTGAAGCTGATAAAGATGGATAAGTGCAATACCCAAGACCTTCCTACACAACAGCCTTGTGTAGTAGTCTTAAGGACACATTTTTTCCCCAGCTTCTTCTCATCATCATACAAAGGCTTGGGTTACCCCATGCTCCTCCACACAAGGAATGATTATTCAAGCTTTTCTATCTTTTGTTTACTTTTAACTACTTACAGTCTATCTGCAGATTAGGATAGGAGATATATCTGTATTTATACATTGATTGTTCAGGAAAAACACTCTATAAATTGTTTTTGCCCCAGCTTAGGTTTTCCAAAGTCTGGATGCTTAAATCAGATTCACAGTAAACAGAGGTTCGTAAGCCTCCTCATCTAAAAGTAGCAAGCTACTCTGCATCTATTTTTGCATATTATTCATCTTCAGATATCCAACCACTAATAAAACCTGTCAGAGTCTTAAAGCTTTAGAATTAGTTTACATTCATTGCCTGTTAGACTTCACCCACTGATCAATGCATGCCATTCAAATCTAACCAGCAAGAGCCATATAATATTCATTTTGCCAGAGTAGGAAGATACAAATGATCGCTGTAGAGATATCAAGTTCAACGCAATCCAAGAAAACCTGCCTGCAAGGCTCCGCAGCATAGCTATCAAAACTCGCAGATCTCTACCTACTGCATATGGTAACTGAAAGAAGCACTCAAATGTTTATGATAACCTTGAAAATAACAGGTGAAAGCACACAGACAATATAAGTGTGTTATAGAGACAATTCAATAAATACACATACGTGAACATAATGGAAGTCATGATATTATTAAGCTGACATTTCCTTTGAAAACCCAGAAATTTTTGCTAGTCTTCTCTTTCCAAAGGAAAAATGTCAAATGATATGTATCATTTTCCTAGAAAAGTAGGAAACAAAGGAAGTTAGCAGAAAAGTATGTAACGTACACAACTGTTTAACTGAGATTTCACTATCAGCTAGATCTGGGTCAAGAGCGACAGCCAAAGCGTTGAAAATACCAAACACACATGGCTGCTAACACTCATGAAATTTACAGTTTTGTTATACAGTGATACTGTTATGTGAACACATGGATATTTCTATGTAATATTATTTTATCACTATATTTTACGCTTTTTTGAGCCAGATATATGTCATAAAGCTTATGATTTTGGGACACATGTCAAAAATGGCAACTACTGTTCCAATGTTGGCAGTGGACAGCCACTAAAGCTTTGCCATTTTTCTGTAAAATGGCCATCGTGTGAGGTTCATGTGGAATGGCTCTCCGTTCTATCTAGAGGCATCCTAATCATACATTAGCCAAACGACAGGAATGGCTGAACCACATTCCATCCTAGAACTGAGGGCAGAAGGAGCAATCCGTGATCCCAAGAGAACAGGCACCTCCACATTCCTGAAGGAGCAAGGAAAGAAGTAAACACTGGCATATCTCTTCAAAGACTACAAACCTGGCCCTATGACAAACATTTATAGGCAGTGCTTCATTTTATTCAGAAAGGGGCATGCTTCCCCAAGATATTGCTAACCTGTTGAGACAAAATCATGTTACAGCTCGGGTCTCTGATCCCAAGTAATGTTCCATGTCCTGCCTAAACACTGGCTTAGTACACTATTACGAACTAAACATGATTTGCTTCCTTTCTTAAAAAAAAAGTTCAAGTTTAATTAAAAATTTAAAAAGTAAGATCATCACTAAATCCAGGACCTGATATATTTACGGTGTGTGTTCTACATATGTTGCTTCAATGAGTTACATTAACGTAGACAAATACTGTTACCAACACTTTCTCAGAGGGCTGATCCAACTTAAAAAAGACGCATAATTTCCTTGGAGGAGGAAAGCAAAACAGCTTCAATTCAGTACTTAAAATATTCTTTTATTATAAGAGAGACCATATTTAGAGTTTTATTATTTAGATATGAGCTACTTGATTTCAATGAAATAAAAATCCAGTGTACGATTACTGAAATTATTATTTGGGCTAATGAGGAACAGCTGTACTCACCAATGCTGATTTCATCATCTGTTTCAGCATCACCAATGCATTCAAACTGGAAATCCTGTAGTGACTGAGAAAATTTCTGTACTGCCATAGACAAATCTGCAAAGGAAAATTGAAAAACAAAATGAGTGACAAGCCATCACAGAATGCACTTGGAAGAATTTCTATTCATCATATATACATAATATATACATATATACACACACACACACCCTCCCCCACAAAAAAAAAAAAACACTTGTTTAAGTGTTACATAAAACACAAGCCTCTAAAATACCAATTTGGGGTCAGATATTTGGTCTAGTGCTTAAGTTGTCAGTTAAGATGGTCATGTCCAATAAAAAAGTGCTTAGATTTAATGCGCAGCTCCTATATATCTAGAATGAAATAAAATAAAATAAAAGTCTGAAAGATTTAAACAAGCTTTAAGCAGACTACTAACTAAATGAGAAACTGGATCTGCTCCACTTAAACAGGATTTTTCCCCTAAGAAAGGGTTTTGGTGCTAGATGTATATTATCTAGAAGACAACTTACCCAAGCTTTTATGGGAGGAAGGACCATTCCCTCCTACAAATGGCACACTTATTTAAGAAATGCAAGAGAAAAGAAGAATCTTAATAAGGATTTTAATTAGAAAGAAAGGCCAAATGTTGACACAAAGGATCACCAATTAAATTCTGGAGCAACTGTGGAAAAGGTAGAGATTGGGTTTTTAAAAATAAATTAAAGATTTTGATCAGGATGGCGACAGATGACTGAAACAGTATTTTAAAATAACTCTGTGTGGGCCCAGTACGGTGGCCTAGCAGCTAAAATCCTTGCCTTGAGTGTGTCGGGATCCCATCCAGCTCCCTGCTTGTGGCCTGGGAAGGCAATTGAGGATGGCCCAAAGCCTCTGGACCCTGCACCCATGCGGGAGACACAGAAGATGCTCCTGGCTTCAGGTCGGCAGAGCTCTGACCATTACAGCCACTTGGGGAGTGAATCATAGAGATGAGAAATCTTCCCCTCTGTCTCTCTTCCTCTCTGTATATCTGAATTTCCAATAAAAATAAAATAAATCTTAAAAAAAACTGTGAAAGAACCTCCACATATTGTGGCAAATAATAAATACATTTAAATTAGAAATAACTGATTTGTGCAAGATTTCAACTATACTGACCATTCTGACTTCATTTTAAACAAGGCCCTGTACCTGACTATACCCAGAAGAATTCTTTATTTCTGGGTATTAAAAAAAAAAGTCTACGGGGAAAAAAAGAAAATCCCTAGGAGACAACAAGAGTGACCACAAATGTGAAAATTGGAGCCAGGTATGGAAGAGAAATCTAAGCCACACCACTTACTTGCTAGTGGTCCTTGGGCAAATTACTCATCTCCTTTAGACCACTGCCTTCCTACATGCGAAAATGGAAGCAACAACAGAAACCACTTCAGCATACTGCTTTGAATGTTCGGTGAGTTAATATTTATAACAGTTTCAAAACAATGCCTGGCAGTAGACAGGCACTACTTAGGCTTCTAAAAGAAAAGTTACAACAAAACAATCTCACAGTGAAGCATGAGGGCATTGGAGGTCTCATATTTCAGGGTCAATCTTATCATTTATGGTGATCCAAGCAAGCAGAAATGACAAGCCTTTCCCCTTGATCAGATTTGAAGCTTTATTCCGAACCAGGTCTCCACCTTGATCTCCAAGTTTGTTGGGCTTGATTTTAAGAAAGATCCTTCTAAGTTAGTTCACAAAGAAACTTCACACTCTGTATCTATCTAAATTCCTCAATACCCATCTTGGATGCGTGATAGAACTTCTTGGTCTGCCCTCAGTAACAATCTTCCTTCCCTTGATGTCTTTTCTCAGACATTTTCACCCATTTGCTAGTTCCTCAACCTGCCCTTTGGCTACAAATCCCCTCCCACCAAGAGTAAAGCTTTGGGACCAGTGGCACATCTACTTAGGATTACATGGGAGGTACTCTAAATCCCAGGGCATGGATCTACTTTAGGGAATCAAGAAAAGTGTACAGAACATATATAGCAAATTAGTATTCTACCAGAAAAATTAATGTTTTATCAGAGCTAGATTTCCAAATAAGTTGTAAATGCTTGGAAATGAGACATCCATTTTGAGACACATTTTCTTAATGCTTCAATAGAGAACGAATGTCTATCCATTGTGAAGATTAAATTATATAGTTGCCTGGCACATGTTAAAAAATCAATGGCATCATTTGCTGTAATACAGGCCATTTTGTAAAACTATGAACGTTGACTACCTTTCAGGATGAAAGATAATGTGTAAAGGCATGCATTCATCTGATAGTGCAGTCTGGCAAAGGATAGAAAAATCATCACACATAAATTGTTATGAAAAGACACAGGAAGTTAGTGCCTGCAAGACTTAAGCCAGCCTACATGTGAGTATTCTGAGATATGGGAAAATACTACATTTAATGTCCTTATTTTTATACAAATGAGTATAACATAAAAGATCCTTTTTTTTTTTTCTACTACTTATTACACCCTGGAGTTTCTTGGAGCCTTAAGACACATGAGCTGTTTGGAAAGTACGTCAGGGTCAGCACCTGATACAACCATCCTTACTTATTTCTCCCTGCCCTCTTCCTTACTTGCCTTGATCTTGCTATTTGATGAGGAAGGGTAAGCTTCTAGGCTTTCTGCATTGGTTGTGATGAATGTATGGCAAAACGCACACTGGGGCCACTCATTTATGAATATCTATCAACAGAGCCTTGTGAATGACAAAGTGAGCTCCAGAGGCAGATCCACCAATAATTAGTGGCATGGTTGCGGTAAACTACATCATCTCTCTGTTCCTCTCCAGGGTTACTGTAGTAGTAAATGGAGCAAGATAAGAGAAACACCAGAACAGTGCTTGAACTAAGTGCCTGACAGCACTCAAGTATGCCATTTCCTAAGTGAACAGCTCAGAAAAGCAATAAAACAAAGTGAAATTTCATTTGGAAGGTGATAACTATTACACTTATTTGGAAAAACCTTGGAAGGTATCCAAGGAAACAGCCTCTTAATAGCAATTTCAAATTTTCTCTTGATACACAGCAAAGTGATCAAACCATGACAGTGTTATTTCAATTTCATTGGTAGATGGAATAAAAAATGCATAAACAACCCGGTCATAGTCCTTTTCAAAGAATAATGAAGCAAGATTATGTAAAAATATGAGTATCACCTATCAAATCATAATTCCAAGAATAAGGACCAAACTTAAGAGATGACATGTTTTCAACCTCAAGCATGCTATGGGTTCACAATTTTCCTTCTAGTTACTTTCAATTTGCAAATATCAAATAATGAGAATGTCAAAATATCATCAAGGTTAAGAAGCCATATTTTCTGGAAGCAAATTGATCAATCCACAAGATGAAGTATGCGGGTCACACTTTTGTTCTAGGCCCCATCTCACGCTACAAAATTATGAACTAGAATATCCAACATTTTCATGAGGCTGATTACATAAAATATGCTAATTCCATACTGTCTAAAGTTTCTAAACCGTGAAAAAAAAAACTTCATAGAATCTTTCAAATAAAACTGAATCAAGTAGAAAGACCTTGATTTTAAAATCTAATCAAACTTGAAACAGACTGATGAGTTTTAAAGCATCAAAAACCATTTTCTCTTAAAAACAAAATGAAGAATCAAATGCATAAGCTATGTAAAATACATGATTTAGTTTTAAAGTGGGAGTTTCGGGGGTGGGGGGTTGGGGATAAGCTATATTTATATCGGTACAAATACAGCCAGTTAGTTGTTTGGTAGAAGGTAGCTGTCCATCCTGAAATACAATGTTTCTCAAATTAGATTTAAGAATCGCATGATCACCATGTCTGGCATAGATGCTATAGAATTACAGTCTTCACACTACCTTACAGAGGCAGACAAAATGAAGTAATGGAAATCCAAAAGCAAAAACAGGATATATCTTTCCTTTCAAACAAGTACCACCCAGTATGACCAAGAAAATTAATCACATCAGAGGCCTACTGATAAATTCTCCAACAAAAAGTTAGCAACAGCAACAAAGATGGTGATTGTACTTAATATTTCTCCAATTATTTAGCATAAATTAACCCATTAGTTCTTACACAAAACCATGACAACTATAATTAAGCAGCAAAATTCCCAGAGTCAAAGAGCTGGACTCCAATCTGAACAAGTCTTCTGTTTTCCAAAGTGGATGCTCTTTTAGCATGTGTCACAGTTAACTAATCAAAGAATGGCACATTTTGAAACTAAGAAAGGTGTTTGCCTTGGGATATTTAACTTATTTTTTATTTATTGTAAAAATTCTGAAATAACAAGAAGCTATGTGTTGATGTGAAAGGACTATTTAGCAAGAAATAGTTTAGAAGTAAACGAAAAAAAAAAGAAGTAAATGTATACAAAAGTCATGAAGCATGCTAAAACTCAAAGAAATGAATACTCACTCTTGCACTAATTTTCCAATGTACCTGAAAAACATACAATGTTTTAAGCATCTTGGAGGTAGATTGTGCATATGTATTTGCCCTTAGCACCTATAGAAAATCGAGAGAGGGACAAGGGAAACAGGAAGAGATGTAGAGAGAGAGAGAAAGAAACCAACTGCTACATTGTTTGTAATGTTACAAATCTACTGCAGCTAAATTACTAAAAACACGGTACTGAGAACACACAAGAGTATATAAAATCACAAGCCCTGACTTAATTTTTAAAATATGGTAAATTACATAACAGAATATTTCAAGAAATCACCAAATAGCCTTGCTGTATAATAACTGTAGTTACGCTGTTAGCGTTCTCTCAGGGAGCTACAAAATGTCAGTCACATGGAGGGAAGTCAGAAGAAAAGAACGTTGAGTGTGGCAGATTACGAGAAAAATATAATGGAAACTTGTAAATTAAAAGATCACTTCTATGGCTCTGACTTGAATAAAGCTCAAAAATGCAACTGCTGGAACCAGCATTTAACCTAGCAGTTAACATGTTTGTATACATATCAGTGTTTGAGTTCAATTCCTGGCTCAAGTTCCCGACTCCAGCTTCTTGCTGCTGCACACCCTCAGAGACAGCAGT